AATGATACATTGATAAGGCATTAATTCATTATATTTTCACAAAAAGCAATTTTTACACACGTTTAAATCAAAAACCCTGCATCTGCCCATTTCTCCACATTCCACTTTTGGACTTAATCCTGGTTTCGATGTGACGGGTCACAAATTTGTGCAATTAGATACTTTAATAAACTCTTTAAATTACAGAACACAAGAAGCTTTTTACTTTGTAATTTTTTAAAGAAATAAAAACAAACAAAAAAATCAACCTCCCTTATAAGAGATGTGTGCCGTAGTGACATTCAGACAGAGCTGTAATTACCTGCCAGGTGCAGCGGTGTGGAGTTGCGCCCCTGAGCGTCTCTGCAGTTGATGTTTTCCGGGGAGCAGAGTTTCTGCACTCTGGCCAGGCAACCCTTCTTGGCAGCGTCCAGCAGGGCGGCGTCCCCCCGCAGCAGGTCCTGGATGTCCGTGTCTCCGTCTTTCACCATGTCCAGAGGAATGTTGCCATCTCGGTTCTTCTTGGTAGGGTCCGCTCCGTGCTGGAAAACAGATTTAATTATTTTACTGAACGTTTTAAAACACAGCACGACCCAGTTCATCCTCATCAGCAGTAGCGTAACGATAACACAGAAAACCAAATATTCAGACGACATTAACGCCTCCTCACTTTAAGAAGCAGTTTGCAGATCTCATATTTCCCTTTAGCTGCAGCCTCGTGAAGTGGGGTGAACTTCCACAGATCTGCCACGTTCACCGATGCCCCGTGTCTGACCAGCAGCTCAGCCACCTCGTAGTGACCGTAGGAGCATGCGTTGTGGAGGGGAACCAGACCACTGAGGGGGAGAAACACAAGTGAAAATCTCCACACTGCAAACAGAAGTCTAGTCTTCAGGAAAACTAACCCCTTGTCTTTAGCGTGAACATCGGCTCCGTGGTGAAGCAGGTACTCCACCACAGCCACTCGGTTGTAACCAGCTGCGAAGTGGAGAGGAGTGGAGTGCCGGCCTTCCAAGTCCCGACAGTTTACGTTCTGGGGGGTGCAAAGTTGCTGCCGTACAAAGTGACAATACAGAAATGAGCAAGTTGTAATTTATATAAAGACAGGTTTAAAAACAAGGCTAACATTTAAGAATATCAAAGCTACATTAGAAAGACAGGGTTAAATCAATACTATTAAAAAATTTAATTCATTATGTTATGATGAGGAGTCTTACTTGCACAGTGTCCAAATCCCCTGCTTTGGCAGCTTCCAGAAATCTGTAGTCCACATCAGAATTCCGTGTGGGAACATTTTCTTTGGAGGAAAAAAAATCAATAGAAGGAATTCAAAATCTATTTATAACAAATTATAAAATGATTATTTGCACAAATGATCCACATATAAACCTAATAAACAGGGTTAAACCACAATTTTACCTGATCCTGAACAACAATCTGTAAAGCTCAGTGTCATAAAATGTTCTAATCCAAACGTATTAAAAAAAAAAGGTGACAATCACCGTTAAGAATCTGCTGTACGGCCTCGTTACCCATCTGAGCCGCGGTGAAACCCTGTAAAGACACGATGGAGGGGTCTCCTCCGTAGCTCAGCAGCAGCTTGCAGGTCTGGATGTGACCAGCCAGCGCCGCTCTGTGGAGAGCCGTCTGCCCGAGTGTGTCCACTGCATTCACCTGCCGTCCAATCACAACTTTACGTTTTAACACAGATTTTTATTTTTATTTATTTTTAACTCAGGCCGAAGACGAAGGAAAGAAGAATAAACCTTTGCTCCATGTTTCTGCAGCACCTCCAGGATGTCATTGTGAGCTCTTTCAGCAGCGACATGCAGGGGTGTCATGAAGCTGAAAACACAACAAAATCACCAGTTTTTATCTCAGCAATTCTGAAAACCAAGATCAACCTTCAGTTCACTGTAAAACCTGCTGACTCACTCTTTGTTCTTCTCATTGATGTTGGCACCTTTACGCAGCAACAACTCAGTCACCTGTTTTCTCTTTGGGTGGGGGGACGCCACAGCACAGTGCTGGAATTTAAGGCATTAGATTAGACAAACAACGGGAAAATCTTTTTTTTCCGTACAGCCATTTAAAGTGCCCAAACTCGAGTTTAAAGAACCGACTCTTACCAGAGCTGTCTCATTGGTTTGAGGGTGTTTAAAGCCGATGATCTCCAGAGCCAGAGTCTTCTTCACTTTGGCCATGTCGGCTTCACGAGCCGCCTGCAGCAGTGAGTGACCTTTGAACTCATCTACAAGGGGAGGAGCATAAAAAGGGTTAGCTCCACCATCTTTATTCAGTTTTAACTAATGCACTTAGTTTATATTATAAACTTATACACTGCTGAATCTCAGAATCAGTTTTATTGCCATTGTCAATGAACGACTAGAAATTTGCTTCAGTGTAGAGGTGCAATAATCTAAAATATAACAAATGAAGAAAATACAAAGGATAAAGGGAAAAAATCTATTTGTGAATTAAAGATTTAGACAGCAAGAACTCACAGGTGAGCCTCTCTTTAAGCTCTGGGGTGGGGGCCATGTCCACTGCGCTCTTGCTGTGACAGTTGAGCAGGGTGGGGTCAGCCCCGTGGCTCAGCAGCAGGGAACAGACCTCCACTCGGTTCTTGGACGCTGCTTCGTGGAGAGGGGTGAACTGCCACAAGTCCATGGCGTTCACACAGGCTCCGTGCTGCAAGGAGAGCAGCTCAGATCAGAAAACAACATTCACGTTTCGCTTTTCATCTTCCACTTGATTATAGCATTAAACGTCTAACTTCCAAATTAGCTCCTAATTTTAATTCCTGGTCAACTCTGCAATATTTTTAATATTTAATTATTTAAAAAAAGGCTTTCAAAATTATATAAAGATGCAACTAAAAAGAAAAACTGGAATTTCCACAAAATATTTTATTTTCTCCACTACTATGAGGGACATTTGACCTTTCTCACAAGCAAAAATGAACTGAAATGGACCAGCTGTTCCTACTGTTCTCAACAGGTTCCAGTCACTTTTATTACAAGGCTTTTTATATTAAATTTGTCCTGACTGTGTTTTAATTAAAATGGATGATTTAACTCTTATGTAACTTGTTTAAAAGTTGCACATTACAGAGATCAGTTTAATTCATTTTGCACTCAATAGTACAACAGAACAAAGACATGTTTGTATTTACTGTTGCGTTCAGAAAAGTGTAAATAAAGTCCTTACTTTAAGCAGAAGCTCAGTGACTTCATAGTGGCCATATGAGCAGGCGTTGTGAAGAGGAACCAGGCCGCTGCATGACAAACACATTGATGTCTAAAATAATCGCGTACAATGGGACATTCTGTGGGTTTTCTCCCTCAAAGAGTCACTCACCCCTTGTCCTTGGCGTGAACGTCAGCTCCATGTTGGAGGAGGAGTTGCACGATGCGGACCCGGTTGTAGCCTGCAGCCAGGTGAAGGGGCGTGGACTGCAAGAGAGGACGACTTGTTAGAGCACATAAACCATCAGAAGCACTGGTGCCTACTGCCTCCGATGGCCACAGGGAGGGCGGGACAAGCGGCTTATTAAAGCCAGAAGCGTTGTGCTGCTGCTGCAGGCTATGCTTGGTGAGTTGCAGATGAATAGCAGGTTTGATGATGCAAGTTCAATGACAATCCATCAACTAAAGTTGTGTTGCTGTCAATATTCTGTCTCACTCCAGTGAGTGACAATGAGCAACTTTGTCTTTGGTACTAATAAACCTTAGATATAGTTTAACAAAAATCTATGAAATTAAAAGTATGTTTTATGTGGTGAGCTGCCAAGAAGGGTTAGTTAACAGCTTTAAAGTCAAAATGATTGAGTGTAAATTACAGTTGGGAGACAAAAGCTGTCTGATTTTTATTTCTCATGGAAGCCAACAAAATAATTAGAAATTTAACGAATGAAATTTAAAACATATTTGATTTGGTTTCTTAAATCAGTATCTCACATGGCTGAGGCACTTAAAGAATAGTTGGTGATTGAAAATTGTGAAAAAATGAGCACATTTCTAGTTACAGTCACTGAATTCTGAGAGTTTGACTGAGGTAGAACGTGTCAGTCAGTAACACAGGTGTCAGAAGGAAAACTGCTGGAGGAAACGTGTGGCTAAACGGGAGCCCTTTGCTGCAGCTGTGCAGTTAGGAGTTTATTTGTCTTTTTTCTCACAGATACTTGTATGCCAATTTATTTGCAAGTGCAATTAATGCATGCAGTGTCAAGTCATGTATACATAACAATTTTAACACAATGGAGGAATTATTAACAGGTGGCGACCATGGTCTCGAGCTGGAAAAGGGTAGAGTGCCTTCTCCGGGTCGTGTCAGGGAGGAGGTCCTGCCCCAAGTGGAGGAGTTTAAGTATCTCGAGGTCTTGTTCATGAATGAGGGAAGAATGGAGCGGGAGATCGACAGGTGTATTGGTGTTTTGTCTGAAGTGATGTGGGCGCTGTACCGGTCTGTCGTGGTGAAGAGAGAGCTGAGCCAGAAGGCAAAGCTCTCAATTTACCAGTCGGTCTACGTTTCTGCCCTCATCTATGGTCACAACATTTGGGTAGTGACCGAAAGAACGAGATCGCGGACACAAGCGGCTGAAATGAGTTTCCTTGGCAGGTGTCTGGGCTCTCCCTTAGAGATAGGGTGAGAAGCTCAGTCATCAGGGAGGGACTCTGAGTAGAGCCGCTGCTCCTCCTTGTTGAGAGGAGCCAGTTGAGGTGGTTCATCTGGTTAGGATGCCGAATGGACGCCTCCCTGGTGAGATGTTCCGGGCACGTCCCACTGGGAGGAGACCCTGAGGAAGACCCAGGACACGCTGGAGGGACTATGTTTCTTGGCTGGCCTGGGTACACCTCGGGATTCCCCCGGATGAGCTGGACCGGGTGGCTGGGGAGAGGGAAGTCTGGGTCTCTCTGCTTAGGCTACTGCACCCGTGACCCGATCCCGGATAAGATGATGGATGGTGGCAATTCACAAAAAAATACAGTTCCAATATTTTAGAATTACAGAATCTAAATCAAGAATGATTTGAGACAATTGTCACTTGGGGTGTAAGAAAATATTGACACTGAAATATTGTGAGATTTCATTTCCTGATTATGTGTTGATTATCAAAAGCACAGCATTGATTAGTAATGAAACCTTAAAATGTAAATTTTCATGCCAGGTTTTAATTTTTATGTTGTTTTTTAGCCTCCGACCACTAGTTGTCAGCAGTCAGCCAGTCATTTGGCTCCTTCACTCCTGAGGAGCCAGAGAGTAAAATAAAAGTTTGAGCTGAATTTTTAAAAAATCTGAATATTCTGGAGAAAAATAAAATAGGCAATATATCGCGTTGTTTACAGTTTAGCAATATAGCGCTCTATATCATATCATGACCCATGTCGTAACATTAGGGATGCACAATATATCGGTACTGGTATCGGTCGATATTGGTCATTTTTTAGAATATCGGTATCGGTCCGATATGTAAAACGGGGCAGATATTAATATCCGATATTGATTTCCCACTTTTTATCTTTGTGTTTCTGTTTTGGGAGGTGAGACGGTTGGTTGAGCGGCATCTGTTTGATCATGATAGTGATACTGACGCTGCGCAGCCAGGAATAACTGAAGTAGGGAGTCATGTCAGAGGTCTGGTCGTTTATTTATGGTATCAAAAGAAGACCTGAGCGTGTTAATTCATATATGTATAATATAATTTGTTTATTTGTGTAATATCGGTAAATATCGGTTATCGGCCATAATACCAATAATTATATCAGATATCAATATCGGTTGAAATTTTCATATCAGTGCATCCCTACGTAACATGCATCATATCACCATGTGAGACATTGACTTTAGATCAGCAACAACTATTAACACCTAAACCCTTTGAACCACAGCCCAACATGGATGCATTTAAACAGACTTTATTTCTAATGCTGCAATGCCATTAAAACCCAACTGTAACAGGATGCAGTGATGCTTGATTGAGCAGGCTGAGTGTGTGAAAAGATGTATCTGCAAGCTAAAAGAAGATCAAATCAAACAGCTTCAGTTAGGCCACAAAAAGTCAACATTAAAATAAGCAAAGCTGCAAATCCCCACAGCAAGGGGAGGAGTTCCTTATTTAAAAATATGCGTCTTGGAAAGCTAACAATAAGAAAAGAAGAAAGGCAACGATTCAGTTCTCATGCAGTGACAAACATGGTCACAGTGCTAACAGTTAAACTGATGAGGTGGATGACACAAGCAATCAAACATTAATGCCATGAAGGGCAGCAGAGCATCTGGAAGATGGGTGAAATGTAGTCCATTCAATACAGCAAACCAACTTAATCAACAGTGATGAAGGCACAGGTTTCACAGACAAAAATATATGATTCAATTAACAAAATGCTGAGAGGCGGGCCTCAAGGCATGCATGAGAAATAAATAAATAAATAAATTAGACGCCCACAGGCTGACTCAAGTGATTTAAAGTCAGAGAAGTGTGGGTGAGTGTGCAGAGGAGAGAGGACAGATGTCGATGAAAGCAGGCAGTGGACATTTTGAGCTCCTCTCCTGATCCAAAAGATGAGTCGTCACCATGACAACCCAACTCAACTCACTCACACGCACGCACGCACGCACACACCTCAGAGGAGCATCAGGGTAGGATACATGAATGACCCGAAAACCCAGGTCCATGATGTGCAATTAACAAGTGACAGCCAGCTTATTGGTCAAATAAAAACGATGAATTAAATAAAAAAGATCACAACAGTGCATTAATCAAGTGGCCATTATCAAGGTCAACTTACCAGCATTTTTTGTGAGGTTGACTGATCGACAAATGTTGCCAGAGTCACACGGAAAACAAAATGAAACACAAATTACAAAATGACAGCATCTTGTCAGAGTAATTTCCCTCGCCCTTTAAATACACAAACCTCAGTCTGAAAAAAATTATTTAAATTGTCAAGTATGATCAGAGAACAAAAAGGCCAAAAAAAAAAGATAAATAGCTGGAGTGTGAGTGAAACTGTATTTCTTAGCTTTGTGAAAAAAGAAAACTGTATGTCAGGGCTATTCAACTAAATTGCTCCGGGGGCCACAGTTAGTGCAGGTCAACAGCTGAGGGGCTGAACATCCAGCAATTAAAGTAATTTTGTAAATAAACTAAGTATTACAAAGATCTGTTACCTTTAAAATAGTTTATTTTGCTGCATTTGATCATGGATACAACATACAGAACCATACGTAATAAATGTAGTGATAGCAAAACAATATAAAAAACAGAAATAACACATTCTGCCCCTATTTAACACAAATATTATTTTGACATATTTGACCTGCCAAATTTTTAAACCAATTTTATTTTCACTTTCATAATTTTATCTTCAACTGTATGGAGGACCAAACCTATCATTATTGGAAATAAATGTATAAATATATAACTGGCGTATTAAAATAAATTATAGGGTCAAAAAGAAGTTTGACAAATAAATTATTGTGCCATTAAATCAATTACATCAATTATTTAGATATAAAAGTGTATTTACATTTTAATTTTGAAGGATTATATTTTCTCTATGTGCTTT